CCCCCCCCCACTGATTTCCCCATTTGCGTCTATTCTCTCCTTTTGTTTGCACGTAACGTTTCCGTACGGAAAGATACGGTATCGTTTACTACAATGTAGTCTCGCAGAATTGCTTTTTCGCGAGTTGCTCTTTAATGTATGGAAGTAAACAGTAAACTGCTTCTGGCTGCGAGAGAGAGGTGGTGCTAACGCGCAGATCCGACGCATCCTCTCGACTTTAAGTTTCTTAAGACGAACTTTTCTTGAATCCTCGCCATCTGCTGCCACTTGTGTACTCTTGAACTCGCGACGGAGCAAAACAACAAGTCAATAAGCAGCTTGGAGTTGTTTCGCAGTAAGCTTCGCAGCTCCCAGATGCTTCACAATGTGGATTGAGTTTCAGCACCATCGACCTAATTCCATGTGTATCCCGGCGCAGAAGTATCGTAAGTCTGAGAAATGAGATCTTGTGCTTTCGCGATATTCATAAAATGATACAATATTGATTTTTACAGAGATCCATTCACAGTCGAAATTACATTGTTTCTCGAGATTTTTATGCTTGAACAAAAGAAGTATAAATTCATAAAACAACAGAAATTATTTTGATCATTAAAATTGTAATTCCATTAATTAATAAATCTGAAGTTTTCGTAACGAAAGCACCGAATTAATTTGCACACCTAATAATATGGCATCGAATATGACTTTGAAAAGCTAATTTTTCGAAATGCGACAAAAAAACTTCAAATTTTCCAACATCTTCATCTTTAGATCGTGTAGCCAGGAGCCAAACGGGCACGCTGTTGCTGTCCGCGGGCTTTCTCAGCCGTCGTCCCGCTTCTCATGACTATGTTTAGCAGATCGATGTCAATCGATCTCCGGGAGTAAATAAAGGCGCGCCACGCGTGGATGCGACGTTTTACCAGACAATCACGATTCGGTCCCCTCATTTCAATAAACGCACAGTTATGGTGATGCCCGGCCGCCCCGAAAGTACCTAATCGTCGACGAGATAAACCTAATCCGAACTTGACACTTTGTACTCTCGCGGTACAGACACCAAGAGCGTATTGAAAGAATCATGTCATCGACAAGTGCATCTCACGACAATGCGTCACCAACAATCAAAAACGGATTAGACGGCGAGAAGCGTGCAGTCGTCAGACAGGGCTGGCCGCGATATCGAGCGACGATATCTATCGATAAAAGAGTATTCGTGTTTTTCAACATGGTTCCACGTCAACGACCTGCCGCGTTTCTAATAGAACGGATAGCGCGCGTAGGAGGTTTCCGCAGCGCGCCGTTTCCCGAAATAATCGCGAGCGATCGTGAGTAGTCTGCCTAAAGCGCTCGCACGAATCCGAGCCCTCGTCGAGCGGTCGTCGAACCAAAGTGGGCGCGACCACCCTCTTTTCAGCTTACCCCTGCCGGTAATATGTTAGGCCTACGAGGCCTACACGCGTTTTCTTTCGCTTATCCCTTCTTTTATGTTTTATGCAATATGCTACTCCCTCCTCCTATTTCTCTATCACTCGGTTGACTTTCAACTTTTGTGAAATACACTGTAACTATGCGTGGATGAGAAATATTGCGACTGATGGAGGGTTAAAAGTTGAGGAAACTTTTGAAATAAAAGTTTTAAGGAATCGTTTTATCATGCAAGGTTATTAGGCAATCCTACAGCTTCGAGGAATTATAGAAGAATAATTCAGGCAATAATAAAAACTAAATGAATTGTAAATTAAGAAAAAAAAAAAACAGTTGGGTCTATGTGATTACCAGCCTGATCCGGTGAGATAACTGGTTTCCTGGCGACAACCAGTTTGCAAAAACAATAGAAAAAAAGCAACGAATCAACTCAGTGATTCATAAAAGATGAAAAACATGCAAAAAGCCACAATTTGTATGACCTTCATCGTGACGTAGAGCCGAGAGACTTTTCATGTTATTTCAGCATCAAAATCGCGGATGTTACTCTCAGGATTAACAAGCCCCACGTATCACTTTACCCGACTTACGGAAGCGGGCAAAGGGGCCGCTCAATCACCGTCGGCGGGCTCACCTCCTTGCGAAAGCGAATCGCCGCGCCGCCGATCGCGCGACCCTCGATCGGCCGGTCCACTTTCGCTCAAAAGCCGCCACCTCGCCCGACGATCCGGCCGACGAGCGGTTCGATAAACATCTTATTTCGGTTCGTGTCGAAACGTCGCGGTGGTGTGCCGCATGCCGCGTGCAACCACTAAAAATACACGACTCTGCGCGGGCCCTCCCCCGGTTCCCGTGCACCGGCACTCGGTGAAACTGCAATCGAAAATAACCTCTCGGAACACCTGGCACCCCGGTGTTCTATTCCACACCGTGTTGGATCCCATTCCCTTTCGCCTTACCCCGTCCTCTTTGTCCTCTTCCTCCACCTCCGCGCGCGCCTTTCTCGAAATTCTCGCACGCAACGGACAAGCGCACCTGTCCCATGCATTCCGCGTGTCTGCAGAAGATTCGTCTCGATGGCATCCGTGTGTGTGGGTGCCGGACGATGACGTGTCGTCGGACACGCGGAAACGGCAGGGTGCCTCGAGGTTTCGTTTCGGTGCGCTTTGTGTGAGCGCAGTCGTGTTCCGATGTCCAAATGTTGACTCAATCCCCGACCATTATTCTCTTCATTGTTTCGTCGAGCTGCTCGACGTCTCCGGGATTTAATTTGAGGCCCGTGTATTCCGTCTTAATCTGATGCGAGCTAAAAAATGAGCTCCGACGATAACGATAAAAGCATGCGCGGACGTAACCTGACGTAACACGCTTGTTGTAACAGCGCGATACCGAAAGGGATGGCAGCGAGATCGACGAATGGGTGTCGCTATCGCAAGGAAACTTACCACTGCAATATCGCCCGACGCTCCGTCCGCAAGGTCCGTCCAGATAAGATTGCGGCGCAACGATTTTACGTGTTTGCGTGCTCGGGAAAAATACACTCGAAGATAAGCGAAAATCAATATTTGTCGCGCGTGTCAAAATAGAATTATTTTTGCATATTCGATTGCTCCTGATGACCATCGGGAGCGAAGTCACGCTCGCGAATTGCCTTCGAGAACAGGTGGTTATCGCGTGATTTGGAAGCACGTGTTTAAGGGGGAGAAAAAAAGAATTTATCCGCCCAACGTGGGGCTCGAACCCACGACCCTGAGATTAAGAGTCTCATGCTCTACCGACTGAGCTAGCCGGGCTGCTTGCTCGCGGTTGACTCATTCGATGGGCACAAAGTTTTCGCCGAAAGAATCGAGCGAATATAAAAAAAAATCTCGCCCAACGTGGGGCTCGAACCCACGACCCTGAGATTAAGAGTCTCATGCTCTACCGACTGAGCTAGCCGGGCTGCTTGCTCGCGGTTGACTCATTCGATGGGCACAAAGTTTTCGCCGAAAGAATCGAGCGAATATAAAAAAAAATCTCGCCCAACGTGGGGCTCGAACCCACGACCCTGAGATTAAGAGTCTCATGCTCTACCGACTGAGCTAGCCGGGCTGCTCGATCTCGGCTGACTCATTCGATAGGCATGAGGTTCCGTCGAAAGAATCGAGAGAATACAAAAAAGACCTCGCCCAACGTGGGGCTCGAACCCACGACCCTGAGATTAAGAGTCTCATGCTCTACCGACTGAGCTAGCCGGGCTACTTGCTAGGAGGTGGCTCACTTATTTGAGACAAATTGCACATCGCGAAATATTTTTTTCATGAATCACCGTGTGATGTCACTGATGACAGAGAGTCCGAATATATAACATAAATGAATGAAAACGATATTTTTTCACACGTTATTGCGATGATTTGCTACCCACTCGAGAAGAGAGTTTTACATCGTGGAAAAATCCAATCCGACACACCGACGATCAAGGCCAATCTCCGCGAGTCGATCGAGTCGCGTCTCAGTGTGAGAGTAGCATAATCCACCTATATTTGAGATTCGACGTGACTGGCACCCTTCCAAGGGATGCTCGGTGTGATTCTTAGAAAGTCTAGTGCATCGGTCCTCTCTTCTTCCTCGTCGTGCCTCCGTACTTTTTCATTCTCTCTATCTGTGCGCGGGTCGACGTACGAGGAAGACCAATGGGTTTTCTGGGTTAATCACCGAGCTCTTGGTTTCACGCACAAAAGCTTAGCCCGATCCGGTCGGATTTGCGCGTGTGGTGGTACAAGAATGGGCTGACCGATGGTGATACAGTGCAGCCATACCTGACGTATTAGTCACCAAATCGATCCTCGAACCTACAATGGGAAACTTAAAATGGAAAATGGCATCCTTTTAAGTCGATTCACTTCTTTCTCACGTTGATTTATGTTAGAACGAAGGACATATGTGAGAATTCATTTCAATTTTGCGATGAAATTCTCTTATTTTTTGTTCAGTGTACCCTGTTTTTCTCTGTTTGGTACTCGCACGGTATTAGCAACTATGTATCATTGGACGTCGATCAAGAAATGTTGACATAATTCGTGGAAAATAAGCCATTAGTTGGTCTAGTTATACTAATTTTAATCTTTAAGACTTTGCCATTTTTATGTATCCAGGCTAGTATCATCGTTCAAGTATTTTTTATTCGATTTTGCTCGGGCTTATCTCTTAGTTGTGTACGTTTCAACGAAACGCCGCAATCGTTAAAATGACGTGAATTTGATGCGGTATTGCATGACTCGTTGCCGATTACGGTGGGTGGTACGTTTTAATCATTTGTTATCAGTCGCTCGTTACAAGTCATTTCGACCTCTTTTGTCGTTACATTGAATTCCATTGACAAGTCAGTGTTATTGATGTGTCGCATTCTAATGATTATGTATTATATGCTTTTTCGTTCATATGAGTGAAAAGACTAGGCTACACACTGAGAAAAAAGAGACTTAAAAATTTATTTGCGAAATATAAGATTTATTTTATAGAAATAAGCGTTCATTTAAATACGTCGAAATAAACTTTTATTTCTAACAAATAAATCAATTAATAAAAAAAACTCAGGTATATTTTACAAAAATATATATAAAAGATATATTTCATCACAATCAAATTTTTTCTAATCAATAAATATCGAAGAAAATGTTACAAGAAATACTTACCTCACAAAATTTCAAATTTTTTCTCTCAGTACTTAAACACATTATTCACATCTGAAAAATATATTTTTCTGCATTTATTAAATGACATTTTCTTCCGACGCTCTCCATCGAACATTTTTTTTACTACGTAAGTAATTTCAGTCGTATATGCGACGAAATATATATTTATTTCATATTAATAATAATATTTAACTAAAGCAGCAGTTGTAAATTATCATCGTTATTTTAGTGGCAAAGGTTATCAGAAAATAGTATGTTAAGTATTATTCGTCGATGATTGCTTTCCGATAGTTTTCCATATTTTTCACTTTGGTCTATTTTTCGTCGTTGAAAATATATTCGCGGGGTGAAATTGTAAATCACTAAAGAGCTGCAAACAAATATACGCATGGGTAGCTGCGTAACGCGCTGCGAGGAACAAATAAATCACGCAGTATGGAACGTATGTCGCGAAACGAGTTCGTTTTCTTGTGAGGTTCAATACTGACGTATTGACGTGCAGTTAAAACATGATGCAACGCGTACATATAGCGTGATATTGTTGCTGTGTGTCACTTGCAAGCAGTTTGGCCGCGAGCGAGTTTGTGCATACAAAGAAACCCTTAATCTAGAAGCAATATAAATTGAGCGAGATAATTAACACGTCACATTCTAAAATCGATTTCGCTATTTCTCCGTTCGGTTTCCCCATCGGTTATTCCTTTGTTTCGGTCTCCGATATCGAGACTATTTTTTCACTTCGGTTCGCAGCGTCACAGATCGGATTATTTATTCGCGAATTCTCTATATCCAGGAAAGCTCATTCGTGACTGACACGATACTGAATTTTTGAAAATGCGATACATTAAGCCTTATTGCGCCAAATTCGACATGTACGCGATTCACCGTATGTGTTACGGATTCACGATAATGTTGGAAGTGATAACCAACAGAATGCTGAAATATTACTGTCCACTTATTATTCTGGATCAATTGAATTGTTAGCTATCGCAGCAGCTGTTCGAGCGCGCTCGTGGAATTATTCCTCGGCAAGGCGCCTATTGTTGTATCGCGTAACTCCTAATATCGAGAAGTTGACACATCGGGAAGTCACTGGCGGGCTGCCAAGAATCTTTACGTTGGGAAACTCCGGTGCTGGTTCTGGGCGACGACCCTGAATCGAAGGAACCATTATGGTTCGCTCACAGTGCTCCGATTTTCTCGTTGCCCGCAGTAAATATCTGTCGGATATCGTGGGAAAACGTCGTGAATTTCATTATCCGTCGGGTAATTTAACTCGGCTGTTCGCTATTAATTCGCGTGAAAATATCGCCCGCACGGCGAAGCGTTTCCCTCACCCGACCAAGTAGGTAGAGGAATAACGGACAAAGGCGCTCGTGAATATTGCCGAAAACAAGGAAAATCTTTCCATAGGATTTATCTCGGTGTCTGCATTTCCTCGGTGTTCATGGCGGCGTCTCGGGTTATCGCGGGTGTCGCGCAGAAGTAAGTGCAGACGTTTTAACCGGCTCGTTATTAGCGTATTTAGACTTCGAGTCGATCGCGTAAAAACTTTTTGTTTCTGTCGTAAATCACGACGATTGCCGCGTGCGTCAATTGCTAAGGACACAATCAGCCAGACGCGTAACGTGTCGATAAAGATGAAAAAAAAAATAATAAGAAGAAGACCACAATGGACGAAGGGAGAAAGAGAAGAGAGAGAGAGAGAGACCGCGCGGATGGAGAAGCATCGTGGAGAAACTCCTTAGAACGATGATCCTGGCTGCAAAGGTTTCTCGCATATTACATTCCCAGTTGTTGCCCGTGTCGTCCGTTAAACGGCGAAACGACGCGGGGAAGAATGTATTCGTGCAAATAGCCGATGCAGCGAAAAACCGCGGATATTTAATTAGCCGGCGATAATCCATGGCTTGACCCCGCGTCGCCGTAACACGAGTCGTTCCGTGTCAAGGCCGCGGAGCATTACTGCGTCTTGACGATTTTGCGGGATTGCAGCGGGAGCGCCAACGGTGCCATAAACAATAACGCGTGCTTGCGCGTCTGTGCATTCCCGCGTCGAAAA